GTCCCCGTGCACACACACACTCCTGCCAGGTGCGGCGTGGGGTGGAGTGGCGCCCACGCCTGCCTGGGTATCAGCTGCTATTCTGACTGGGGTGTGCCTGAGCACCTGCGTTTCACCAGCTCGTCAGACTGCAGGGAAGCAGAGCTGAGCGCCAGGCTTCTGGAGCAGCCAGCGTCCCTGCAAAGCCTCCCAAGCTCTGTCCCCACCCACTGGGACGCCCTCTAGCCCATGCTTTCTTCTGTAGGGCAGACCCACTGCCTGCGCCCTCCCTGTCCACTTCACCCTGTAGTCTTTTCTCCAAGAAGTTTCCACCCGAGCTGGCGGTGGTGTGCTGCAGCTCGCTCACAAGGGCTCACCAAAGCGACTGTGAAGCACAGCTTAACATCAAAACTTAACTTGTGAAATTTACAATTGGGCCAGTGTTGTGGTGGTAAAGCTGCCACCTGCAGTGCCAGCATCCCATATGGGTACCGGTTCAAGTCCCAGCTGTTCCCCTTCCAATCCAGCTCTCTGCTGTGGCCTAGGAAAGCAGTAGAAGATGGCCCAAGTCCTTGGGCCCCTGCACCTGCATGGGAGATGCTCCTGGCTCCTGGCTTCGGCTCTCAGCTCCAGTTGTTGTGGCCAATTGGGGAGTGAACCAGCAGATGGAAGACTTCTCTCTCTCTGCCTCTCCTCTCTCTGTGCAACTCTTCCAAATAAATAAATAAATCTTGGGGGAAATAAAGGCCTGTAGAAATTTTTAAAGAAATTTACAACTGAATATTAAAAACAAAGATGAAAACGTTCAAACTTATCACTTTCTAAATTTTTTGTTACCTTTTACTAACTGTATCTTCTTGAGATTCTTTATATCTGCTTATCTGTACAGTAGAAATATAGACTATAAAGGCATGGGTTAGGGTTAGGGTTAGGGCTAGGGCTAGGGCTAGGGCTAGGGCTAGGGCTAGGGCTAGGGCTAGGGCTAGGGCTAGGGCTAGGGCTAGGGCTAGGGTTAGGGCTAGGGCTAGGGCTAGGGTTGGGGCTAGGGCTAGGGTTAGGGTTAGGGCTAGGGCTAGGGCTAGGGCTAGGGCTAGGGCTAGGGTTAGGGCTAGGGCTAGGGCTAGGGCTAGGGCTAGGGCTAGGGCTAGGGTTAGGGTTAGGGTTAGGTCTTGGGCTAGGGCTAGGGCTAGGGCTAAGGCTTGGGCTTGGGCTTGGGCTTGGGCTTGGGCTTGGGCTTGGGCTTGGGCTTGGGCTAGGGTTAGGGTTAAGGCTAGGGCTGGGGCTAGGGCTAGGGTTAGGGTTAGTAGGGCTAGGGCTAGGGCTAGGGAAGCTCTTGTGCATTTCTACCCAACTCTGAGTTTGGTGACATCAACTCCGTGGCTGAGATCTGCTGTGGTAGGAGTATTCACATCAGAGAAACCAATAAGTGTGACAAACTGGGTTTAATTTATTGTTTTGTTGACTGCCTATACCCTTGGTTGGCCATGGACGAAATCCAGCCCACCAACTATTTTTGTAAATAAAGTTTTATTGCCACACTGCCATTGCCCATTCATTTACCTGTTACCTGTACCTGCTTTCACACTACAATGACACAGATGAATAGTAGAACTATGTGGCCTGGGTTAGTAAAATAGCGCAGTCTTATCTGTGGTGCCATCTATGCCCCAGACACCATCCTAGGCTCTAGACCCTCCGCCATTGCTGGAAGCCAGGTGACCAGGTGGCCCGGCCACCGGTGTTCGCTCTCCCACCCCACAATGGGATGTGTTGCTCCTACTTCCCTGCCCACATCCCTACCAAGGTTTACCAGGACCTGTTCCGGAGCACATGCTCTCTCTTGATCTCTCTCTCTCGTACACTCTCTTACTCTCTTGTCCTCTCCCCGGGGCCCATCGGGTTCCCCCAACCCGACAATAAACTTTTCTCTGAACTCTGGTGATTGGCGTGTTTTGTGGTGGCCTTACGGCCTGCAAAGTCTAACGTATTTACTATCTGGCTCTTTACATTAGAAATCCACTTAGCCATGTCTAGGCTTAAGAACTAATAGAAGAAACGTTAATAAATGCAGATGAAATGTAAACACATGTAGTCTATGGCCATGACATTGTAAAGCACACACACACACACACAAACCTGAGAAAATATACTTCCGATATCCAAAACCTATGATCCAGTTCAGCAGGAACTCCATCAGGTCGCTGAGGAATGAGTAAAATTCCAACACCTTTACTGTTTCGTTTCTTACTTTTTAATGTAAATGAGATACCAACATTCCTGTTGGTATATGCTACATTTGTTTATCCATTAAAACCACAGGTTAGAAGCCATGGATAGGAGTGAGGGAAAAATTCAAGAAAATCATACTATATGAATTGGATAATAAAATTTACAGTAAAGAGTATTGTGGAGTTTTATTATTTGTAGATGTCTATAATTAAGATGTACAGCACTTGCACGCCCACACGTACACACTTCATTCCAGAGAGCCAGCTGTTCAACAATAAGGCACATGGCTTTGTCTCCCCTCCACTAGACTGTAAGCTCCCCAAGGGGAGAATTTTCTCCCAATGCTTAGAAAAGTACCTGGTGCGGAGCTGGCGCTGTTGGCATCCAATATGGACACGAGTTTGAGTCCTGGCTGCTCTACTTCCGATCCAGCTCCCTGCTAATGTGCCTGAGAAAGCAGAGGAAGATGGCCCAAGGGCTTGGGCTCCTGCAACCATGTGGGGGACCCAGAAGAAGCTCCTGGCTCCTGACTTCAGACTGTTCTGGCTCTAGCCATTGTGGCCATTCGGGGAATGAGCCAGAGGATGGACGATTCTCTCTCGTTCTGTAACTCTGCCTTTAAAATAAATAAATCTTCTTAAAAAAAAAAAAAAAAAAAAAACACCTGGACTATAGCAGGTATGCAATCAATCTACATAACACCAATGAGCACAGTGAGGGACGCCTTGGCTTCAAACCTTTGTTAGATGTCCAGCTCCACCATCACCCAGCTAGGTGACCTTGAGTAAACTATTCAACTTCTTTGAATCTTGGCTTTCTCATTGAAAAACAGGGGGCCCCCGCTTACCTCACAGGGAGCTGTGACAACCTCTGCTGAGGTGCCGCTGTTGTCACCTACTGTGTGTCCTCACAGATGGGGATTTCCTTCTGAGCCTCCGACCCTGGCCCTGTCACACATTTCAGTGACGTCACAGCCCTCCGGCCTGGGAGCTCTAGCAGTCACATCCGATGCCCCGCCTGAGTGCTGGCTGTACTGAGAGGGGCAGGGTGCTCGATATACTTGGTACAGTCTTGCTCCATCTGTCTTGGAGCCTCACAGCCCCAGCATGAGCCCACCAGCAAAGAAGAGGCCCCAGAGTAGAGTGGTTTTCCAGGTCGGACTTTGGACCAGAGCCCTCGACGGGGGGTGGGAGGTGAGCCCCTTACGAGGGGCCTAAACAGAGAGTCCATCCATACCAAGGACAGGGGAGAGAGAGGGAAGGGTGAAGGGAGATGGGAGAGTTAAAATGGTCACTCCAGCTCTGCCCCAAAACCAAGGTGTCAAACTCCCAGTCTCGGGAGGTCAAACTGTGCTCAGCCAACGGGAGAGGTGCAGTGGAGGCACTGGGGAATTCCTCCTGTGTTAGCGCCTGCGCGCGCGCTCGCTCTCTCTCTCCCTCTCTCTCTCTGTTCCGCAGACACAAGATGAGAAACTGCAGGACAAGATAAGACAGCCTATCAACAAAATAATCAAGCGGAACCGACTTAAAATGGTGAGACGTCCCCCTTTGGCCCCAGCTCGGGGAGCCTATGTGCCCACACAGCGCTGCTCCCGCGTGCCAGGCTGCGTGACCCAGCAGGGGTGTGCAGGTGCAGCCAGGAGCCGAGTTGAGCCAGAGGCAGAGAGGGGCCTGGCAGACTATCCCGGGAGAGCTGAAGCTTCTATTTTTCTGGTTTCTCAACCCCCGGCAGGTGTTAAGGAACTTGTCGCTCCTGAAGATACTCAAGAGCTCAAATCACCGGATCCTGGAGCTGCATAACCTGGCCAAGAGGTGTTGGAATTCACTGCTCAGCGTTCCAAAGATCCTCCACATCGCCTCCAGGTGAGCCGGGCCCACCTGTCGCTCCCTGGGGACTCCGACAGCTGTCTCCCAGGGACAGAGCTCTGGCTAAGGGATTTACAGAAGGGGTTTGATCTTCACAGGGGCAGGTTACTTGTCAGCTCTACCTTCCCGCTGATGGGGGCTAAGGCTCAAAGGGTGAAGAGACTTATCCCAGTTAACTGAACTATTACGTGGCAGACTTGGGATCCGAGGCCACTGCTGTGGTCGTAACAATGGTCATAATCATCCAACTATGGGCCAGCCCACAATCGGGCACCGAGGGGGCTCAGTCCTCTCCCTCTCCCTCCCAAACTGTCACAACAGAGACGCACCTGCAGACTGGCCCCTGAAATCTGAGGACGAGGCCATCTCGCCAAGTCCCATCAGAACGGGAGTTCCCACCAGAACAGTCAGAAAGCTACCGTTCGCTGGGCACCTGCTCAATGCCACCTCCTGTGCTTTACACACTTTGCAAGCATGCACCTCGTGATTTCGTTCTTCACCACAATCCTGTTGGGTAGACAGGACAATCCCAGTCTTACAGACAATGAAACAAAAGCTCTAACAGTCTGAGTTCTTGCCCTGTTGCACAGGCGGTAAGGGGTAGAAGCAGAATCTGAGCCCATCCGGCTGACCCCAAAGCCCGCGCTCCATCAGCCGCCCTGCGGCGCCACTGCCGCCTGCCTTGCAGAAGTGTTGTGAGCAGCGGGCGGCAGCAGCACTGCTGTTATCCTGAGCCCAAGGCCTCGCCCTCCTCACACAGCCAGGGCAGTGCAGCCATTGCGCTTCCGCAACTGATCAGACGCCCTTAGGGGCTGTCTCCTTCCAGCATGCAATGTCTCCGCTTACTCCACCTCTCTGATTTGGCAGCCCAGAAAGATGGAGCCAAAGGACTGGATCACATAGTCCCAAGGCTTTCCAACTTTTTTTTTTTTTTTAGATCAGTGGAACTTCTCTCAAATGTGTACCCCCAAGCTCCAACCATACTGAGGAGGGGTGGTGTCCTGCCCTCGTCCTGCCCCCACCCCCCACCACCACCCATGCATTGCACCTGTGATACCTGGGAACACAATCTGAAACAACAACACTAGGCTGTTCATTCTCTCAACTGAACTCCAGAGAGACAGACCCCTAACCTAGGCGCAGACGTGGACCATACACAGAGCACTTCAAACTCACAGGAAAGCCTGCATTACCTTATAATTCTATCTCTCCATAACTTTTTGAAGCCTCCCTCATATTCCTATGTGTCCTTACAGTGGGTCACACCTGTCACCTGCCCAACCTCTCACATCTCTCTGCCACTACTTAGCCCACCCCCCACTGCCGGGCACTAGAGAACTTTCTTTTCAGGCCCTCTCTCGCTATCCTAATAGGCTCCCCGAGCTGGCTGCAAAGCCGCGATCTCAGGCCTGGGCAGGAGGACCAGGGCCTCTGTCCTCCTCCACTGACCACCTGTCCTCTCCCTGCCAGGGACAACAAAGTCAGCAACACAGAAAAACAAAATACTGAAGAGCTCCAGGCAGCTACGTGCCTCGACAAGAATCTGGAGTTCAAGCAATTCGAGTCCAGCGCGGAATCTCAGGAGACAAAGCCCCCAGAGTGGGAGTCTGAGGTGGCACCAGAGACGAAGAGCACGGAAGAGGGGTCACCTGCAGCAGTGACATGGAAGGAAGGGCAGGCGGAGCCTGAGGCCCCAAGGACATCCAGGGGCCACGGCCCCAGCCCTGGTGCCTGGGGGACGCAACTACCCGCTGGGGGCCCCCAAGCCAACTTAATCAAGACCTACCACGGAACTCCCTGGGAGGAGACGAGGCAGCTGGGTGCAGCCGACCAGGGCGACTGGTTTGAGGGGCTGCCCACACGGATCCGCCTGCCAGGGCCCCGGGTCATGTGCAGGGCCTCCACTCTGCGCTGGGTCAAGCGCTGCTGCACCCGCTTCTGCTCGGCATCACTTGAGCACCCCAGGGGCCATCCGCGCAAGGTGGGTGTGCCACTGCCGGGCCAGCGGGAGGTGCAGGCCCTGAAGTCGTGGGGTTCGACATCCGGAGTTCTGCAGCGCTGTGGCAGGCAGTGCTGGGAGGTCCCACCTTCGGGCCCAGAGGGAGGGAGAAGCCACTGACCAAGGCCATGAGGCCCCTCTGGATGCCACTAGGGGCTCTGGGGGAGGAGGGGTTCTGGGGGAGGAGGGGCCCTGGAAGTGTGGGTTCCCAGGTGGATTGTCTCATGGCTTCGGAGGAACCAGAACTGCCCCGCCTCTGACTCTCACAGCCAGAGGTTAAGCAAACGAGTTTAGGAATAACTAAACCTGCGAGTGGGGAAGTGCCAACTGGGGCTTTGAGGCATTCCACCCCCTTGGACCAAATCTGCTCTCCATGTATATTGAACTCATGCATGCCTCAAATAAGATTTACTGTGAGCAAAAAAAAAAAAATTAGAAATACTCCAGCCCCACCGTGGGAGCACTGCGTGTCCGTGAAAGGAAGGGGGTGGCTGGCTCGGCAGTCTCCTTCCGCAAAAGCAGCGCTTCCAACCCGCCGGCCGTCACGGCGCCTCTCGCCGGCCGACAGCGCCCCCTGGAGGCCGCCTTAGCGCCTAACACTGAGGTCTCTGCACGCAGGTGGTGTGATCCAGCGCGGGCGCCAGAGCGAGGTGTGAGAGGGTGGAGATCTCGCCCGCCGTCGGCTGCACGGGAGGGAGGGGCAGGACAAGTCTCCCGTCTGCAAATAAAATCTCCCACAGGGCACTGCACAACACTGCTGTGAGCTCTACCTGTCTGTCCCGGGGCTGGGAAGGACAGAGCAGGGGAGGGAGCATGCGGGCCAGGACTTCAGCCTCCCCCACTCCAGTCCCCTGTGAGCTGCACCCCTCCCCCACCGGCTCTGCATTTTCCTCTGTGAGGTCAGCGGAGGGGGCGCAAGGTGGCTCAGGACGGCTCAGCGAGCCAAGGACATGCACAGCGCCTTGCCCAGGCTCGCTTGTCCAGGAAGAGACAGGGGCAAGAACTCCAACTGGGGTCTGCCGCTCCCCATTCCACTGTCCCAACAAAAGAACAAGGCTGCGAGGAGAGGCTGCCCAGAGCTCACAGGCCGGCGGAACCCGGCGGAACGAGTGTGCATCAGCATGGTGCCGATGTTATCAGCGCCCCTGCTGTCAAACAGGTGTCATCCAGGCCTCCACAGGTGCACGGCCTGAGTCACAGGTCAGACACACAGGGCCAGGTGGGGCCTGGTAATGGGCATCCACCCTTACCCGAGCCCTGGGACCCCATTAGATCGGGGTCACCCTCTGTAAGAGCCACAGGGCCCTGAGCAGCAGTCGGGAGAGGAAACCCTTTATCTGGAGGAAGTCTAGTTCTCCACACTCTGCAGAGGCAGTCTGCAGGGGCCACGGCCTTCCGGGAGGGAAATCAGGCAGTGCCCAGTCTAAGAGACAGGGAGAACACAGGGCGGGCCTCCCCTTGAGCGCTGGGCACTGACACTGGGCATTGCCGGCTGGCCCAGCCTCGGCATGGGGACTGCTCTAAGCCGCACTCCTCCTCAGCCTCCGCCGGCGCCTCTGCTGCGTGCCCCCCACCTCCGCCACCTGTAAGCTCCGGCACCAGCCTGCGGTATGTGCTGTGCTCGCCCTCCACCACATGCTCCAGCCTAGAGCGCACGCCCACTTTCCCACAGTCTCTGCCCCGTGACCTCCGCCTCCACCTGCCCCTGCCCAGCGTGGCCTCTGGCCCACACCCTGAGTGGCCTCCACGTGGCTTTGCCTGCTGGGCACCATCCACCCCATCAAGCTCAGAACAGAAGTGTGCCTCTGCCTTCTTTCTCAAGCACTTCTGTCCCGTCGGCTTTGCCTGGACTTCGATCCTCACTGGGCCGTGAGTCAGGGCATTGCATTCCCAACAAAAATCACTCTTTGGGGGTGTGGGCTGCACTAGTTTTCACGGGAGCCCCGCGTGGAGGCTGGAATGGGTGAGCTGTGGCCAGATTGGCACAACTGGGGGCCCTCCACCCCCCTACTCCCCTTGTTCAGTCCCTCCAACCTGAGGCCCCTCTTCCGGGCTCAGTAAAATCCTGACCTCACTGGGTTACAGGGGAAGACGCAGGAGTCAGCTGTGGTGAGAGCAGACAGGGGCTCCATACCAACCACCCAGACCCCCGGCGACCTCACATTAGAAGACGCCACGGCTCAGAGGACGGGGAGCAGCGGCAGAGGCAGCAGCCAAGTTCTGGATCACGGCCTACAGGCCAGGAAGTGTGCTAGGTGCTTCACACGGGACATCTTTAGACAGGGGAGCTGGAGCAGCTCACCCAGGTTCTCACAGCAGATACTGGGGACCCTGGGACTCAGCCCTGTGCTCCGGAAGTGGCAGGCCAGACCTCAAACCTTCAGCTCCCTGGCCCCCGTGCTTGCTCACCTCCCTTTACTGCTTTCCTACGGAAAAGTCCCAAGACCTTGACTTTTACTCTCCACAGACGACCGCTCCTGACCCAAGTCGGTGGCTTCTGGGCTGCAGGTAGCAGGGAGTGTTCCACACCTGTGCACAGGCTCCGCTCGGGGGCTGCCAGAGGCAAGCCGCCCTGGCCGGGGGTCACCGAGGAAGGAGCCCACGAAACAGCTTCCAGGGGAACGTGCTTGGGTTACCAGCCCTCCCGGACTGAGGGGACCCCCAACGTCTGCTGGCTGCCATCTGGCCCCCATGTGCTCTGGATTTGGACAGAGCTGTCTAGATGGAGCCAAGAGTCAGAGTTGCTCTTTGCCAGGACCCCTTTCTCCTCCTCCTTCAGGGTTGTAAGCCACCCTGAACACCAGCTACGCAGCAGTCGCAGCTTTTCACAGGGTTCACGTGAGGATGGGGTGGAGGGAGGGCCAGACTTCAGACCCTAGGAAGTCAAAAGCTACGCCCACTTAGCTGGAGGCTGCAGCAACTTCCTGCTGCAAGCACCACCCTTCGTCCTTAGGAAATAAAGATTTTTCTTCATTCCTACAGTCACTAGGAAGTCTAGACATATTTCATGTACTAACAGTTTTTCTTGGAAACACAGTAACTTTATAAAGCACTATTCATCTTTGGTATTTCAAACCAAACAAGTGCAGCAGGATGAGAAGACCTGAGGTCCGACGGGCTGCTTAATCATCGAAAACTTAACTAAGGACCCCTTCAGGATGAGCTTATTGGTATCGCTACCAGAGCACAAACCCTGGGCCTGCCAGCTCCGCACAGGCAGCTCTGGGAAAGCCCCTTACAGCTTCCTGACCCGCAACACACAGAAGGTGCAGCTCCCGACTTCGGAAGGCTGTGATGACCGCGGGACAGAGCAGACGTAGAGCCCCTAGCCACTGCCGATACTTATTGACAGATGTCATTTGTTAATAAAATGACAGGACGTGTCACTGTCCTTGCCATCCTCTCCGGGACTCACCTCTAGAAACTGCCCTTATCGTACAGGGAAATCATAAGCAGCCCACGATGGGCATGCATTTTTAGCCCCAAGTGTCAGGTCAGTCGCTATGTTACTTGTTTAAAAACTGGCTCCCCTTTTTGGTGGTTTCCAAAAAAAAAATTAGCACTCAAGAGACAGAGATTTGTCACTGCATAAGACACACAGAGAGGTGGGCACAAGCCCTTGAGGAAAATCCCAAAGAGGGGTTTCAGCTGCAGCTGGTCACAGGGCAGCAGCCACACGTGGTCCTGATGCCTTTCAGAGTGACACCAGTCACCCATCTGTGCAGTGTGCAGTGGCCGGGGGTTGGGGGGACCCAGCACCCAAGGCCAAGTCACCCCAGCTGGTCTTAGCTCCCGGACCCATCAGCCGGGATCAGGTCCCAGACCACTCTGAGTGACCGAGGCGCCTCACCCAGCACTGTCCCAGTCTGCCCAGGCGCTTCACTCTTTAACCTTTCACCTGGTCAGCCCCAGCCTCAGCCCCCTGCTCTGCAGAACTGAGAGCCAGGAGCCTACAAAGACTTCCCAGGAGGGCCCACTCCTCACACTGAAGCCGAAAACGGACAGCTTCTTGGGCAAGCTCCAGAAAACCAAAGAGCAATGCTGATGGTTTCAACGCAGAACCACCTAGACCAGAAACCACAGGGAGCCAGATGGAATCCCAAGGCTCACGGTGGCTCACCTGAGGCAGGGCAGAGGCACCTGCAGGGAGAGGGGTTGGGATACAAGGGGGTCCCTGCCCTTAGCATCTGAATCAGATGGGGCCCAGGACAGGAGAAGCCTACAGTTCTTGATGGCTCCCTTGCTGGCTGTGTTACTCTCTCTCTCAGCCCCAACCATGGCATTACAAAGTAAAGGTAGAACCGTGGAAAATACTGCATTTATGTACACAGGAAGGCCAGCCACAAGCCCCTCACAGAGGAAACTCTGTCCCAAAGAAAAATCTTAGCAGCAAATTCCTATCTCCGTCAGCATTATCAGTGTGGCCCAGGCTGGAAGGCTGGGCTGCTTGGCTCTGGGCAACGGATCACACCCTTCTCACCGCAGAATTCCAATCAGGCAAGAAAATGGAACTCCTGCCGGAACACAGCGCCAGTGGGGGCTGGCAGGGACGCCTCATGAGAGTTAGACTGGGAGCGATGCTGGGACTTTTCCTGGGGTCCTTTGGGCTGCCACGTTGAGAGCTGGGACCAGGGCGGGGACTCGGTGGAGGGAACTGGAAGGAAGTCGGTCATGGGTTCGTGGGCACACACACGCGTGCGTGTAACAGGTCACAGGCTGTGCGTTCTCCTTGTGCGCGATGCCTCTGTCAGCGATGCTCTCCCCACAGCGGCCTCGTGCGCTGCGCCTCCATCTCTCCGCAGCTGTAGATCCAGAGACCAAGGGCTTCTCCGGCACGGTCCCTGTGGCTCAGCAGCGAGGCCAAGGCAGCAGCTCTCCGGGGAGCTGAGACACACGACTAGAAGAGTGGTTTGCTCCAATCAGATATCCTTGCTTTGTCGGTTCTCGTTTTAGAACAACAGGCTGGTGACAGGTATGATGGCTCAAGAGTGACACGGTTTCAATTCTGCTGTGATCCTCCGGGAGGTCCCCTTCCTGACCTCCCAGACACCACGGCTCCGTAGATGGAGGCCATTCGTGCGGCTCTGATCCTCACTGCTCCCTGCCTTCGTGCCGGGGCCTCACACCTCTCTCACACCCACAACTTCACATTTCCAGGGATCTTCTGAGACCTGGGCTGGACCTCACCTGGAGGGTCTGAGCGCCTCAAGGTGTCCCAGCAGGGCTGTCCACACGGCCTGCTCCTAGACATTGGATTTAGGGGCTGAGTTGAGGGGTATCTCCTTGAGCTCCGTCCGCATGCACAGGTACTCCCCGATGACAGCCATGAGCGCAATGCACACAGCCTGCACCAGCCACCAGCTCAGTGCCGAGGGGAACCGGGAGCTGTAGAACCAGCAGCCCAGGAGGTGAAAGAAATGGACAGTGACCGTGAAGTCCAGACACTGCTTCCCTCGCCGGATGAAGTGCAGCAAGCCCAGGGCGCTGTGGGGAAAGGACAGCAGCGAGTGGCCATGGGTCGTCCTGGCCTGAGATGAGGCTACTTGGGGGTGGGGACACTTAGCATAAGAACATTGTGGTCACAAGAGAAGCAGATAAGGGTGACACTATCAGACGCCTAGAGGAACCTGGCAGGTGCTATCAAAAGTGAGTCAGAAGGAACAGCAGAAAATGAAAGCATAAGCTTGATGCTTAATGGCAATTGTCACTTGTGGGGGGGGATCCTAGGGCTTGGTGGGGACTGCGGCACCCTGAAAGCAAACATGTTCTGTCTAAAGTGGAAACAACAGCTAACTTGTACCTAGGCAAATCGTATCATGCTAGAAGTTTGGCTTGAAATCAATCTATCTTCCCATTATTCAAGATTAGCCAGCAACCTGGATTTTTATATAAAATATACTTTCAATTGAACAAAAATGTTTTGAACACTAAGCTTGGGCGAATACCTGTGTAAGCCACTCAGAACACATCTGGGAGGCAAATTTAGGTCCAAGTCAGCCCAGCAGTTTTCAAACTCCGCAGTAAGGATGAGGCACTGTTTTCAGTACTTCCTGTGCAGTAACGCACTAAAGCCTCACAGCTCCGACAGAAGTGACTATCTGCCCCTTTTGGTGACGAGGAACCTGGGGCTTAGGCAGATGAGCCTGCCCAGTCGCTAGACAGACAGGAAAGCAGAGACTCAAAGCCACGTAAGTTTGCCTCTGGAGCCTGAGATCTCGTTCGCCCATGCTAAAGCCCCTCTCAAGAGACAGGCGGCGGTGGACAGTGGCCCTAGAGGTCCCCAGTTCACCCTCTGTGTCCAGATGCGGAGTCGCAGACCCAGAGGGGAGGGAAGTAACTTGGCCCGTCAATGACACCCAGACCAAAATAGAAACCTTCCTCCTGATTCCTAGTCCTCTCCTCTACCTGCTCCAGAACAGGGAAGGCAGCTCACGTGGGAGCTGTCCTGCCGGCAGCACACACGGTGACCTCAGAAGTTTCCAGCTAAGTCAAAACAGCAAAGAAGGAGCCCAGGAGAGAGCCAGGCCCGGAATCAGCCTCCGCCACCCACTCAGCCCACCGCTCCCCGGGAACACGTGCCAGTCCGTCTCCTGTGCACACTGAGGGAGCTCGTCCTAGTGCTGAGACCCCAAAAGCTGGGAGCAAAACTGGTGATACTCACCAGGTGAGGGCATTCAGGATGAAGGACATCATGGAGAGCCGGCCTGGAGGGGTGGAAAAGCCCAGGATCTGAGGAGAATCACAAACGGAAAGACACTGGAGACGGCCCCAGAGAGCCCCGGAGAGCCCCGGGCTCCAGGATCCCAGCGGGCCTTGTAAGCAAGGGCACGCAAGACACCTCTCGGGGCACGCAAGACAACACCTCTCACGGCACGCAAGACAACACCTCTCTTGGGCTGTCCAGCAGCCCGATTCTCACAAGGTGCTTCCACACACATCCGTTACGGTGTCTTACTCCATCCTCACAGCAGGTGGACAGATCAGGGGTCTCCTTTCACAGGGAAGGGCATAAAAGCTCAGAGAAGTTGTCACCCAAAGTGACACAGTAAACAAACAGCAAGAGACAGGTCTAGAACAGACTTCAGAAAACCACGGCCCCACAGGCCAGGCACCCATTACTGCAAATAAGGTTTGACCGAAACACATTCGCACCTGCTCACTCACACACTGGCCGTGGACGCAGAGCTGAGTGGCTGTAGCCGAAAATCTTTCCCACCTCCTGCTCTAGGGAAAGGTGTCCTCACCTCTAGCCTGGGACTCTGTGCAGCAGACGGCTCTTCAACAAAGCCCAGGGCCCCCACGCGCCCTCCTCAGGACAGAAGCTCCTAAGAAGCGACTAGGCACCCGGGGAGGCTGCAATCTACCACCCCTGACGCAACACGACCCAGAACCAAACATCTGCCCACACTTCCAGCTTACAGAGACAGGCCTCTGCTGAGCCATGATCCCGCGCTATCCTCACAAAAGCCCAGCAAAGCCACGGTCAGCTTCTCACTCTCATCTCTTTGGGATGACAATGTGCCCGAGGGCTACCAAGGGGAGAGCGGCAGAAGCGAGGGCTCCTGGCTCCCGGAGCTGGGCCCCTCACCACGCACCATAGCTGCCTCTCCGACCCGGCAAGCTCTCGCGCCTCCAGTCCGAAAAGCTGCAGACAGCGAACAGGGCGCACAGAGGTGAGGCCACCTGTCCCAGGTCACGGGTCAGTAAGTGAAGCTGACACAGGGGCCCGCCTGACCCCCAAAGGCCACGATCCACCTCTCCCTCCCGCCAGCACGGCCCCGGAGGAACTGAGCTCAGCGAAGCCAAGCCACTACCCCCGGTCTCAGGAAGCAGATGCGGCAGTGTCGCCTGGATCCACGCCTGACCAGCTTCTCGCTCTGCTACCAAGCGGGACAGCCAGGGCTCAGACCCCTTCCCGGGGGTCACTCAGCGAAGCAGGTGGCGGAGCCCAGGGCCCAGCGGCGCCGGACCACAAATTCGACTCCGACAGGCTGAGACCCCCACCCGCGTCTGCCCGGAGACCCTACCTCGGCGTCGAACATCTGGTCCAGCGAAGGGCTGCTTCGCACGAGCCCGTCCACCAGCGCCAGCCACAGGCCCAGCGAGCCGTAGTACACCGTCTGCATGAGGACGATCTGCGACAGGATCAGCAACGGGTCCCACACGTAGCTGCGGAACTGGCCCGCCATGCCCGCCCGCGGGGCCGGGTCGCCGCCCAGGCCTCGGTCAGCGCCGCCTCGCCATGGGGCCCCCGGCCGCCCCCGCACCTGCGGAGACACGGGGCGGGCCTCAGCCAGCCGGCCCCGGAGGAGGGGCCGGGACCCCGGGGGCGAGCCCACCCCAGAAGCAGGGGGGAGGGCGGGGCGGACAGACCCCTTCCCAGAGTGAAGGGAAATCCTACTCACCCCGGCTGCTCGGCCCCCGGCCCGTCCACCAGCTCCTCTGGGCTCCACTCACCGGCGACGGACTCGAAGATCGACGCGTCCGAGAGTGGCCCGGCCTCAGCCGCAGGCTCCCGGCACCGAGCTGACAGACAGGACCATGGAGGAGAGGCCTCGCAGGCCTAGAGAGGCAAAGCTCCGGCTACCCGAGGGGCCGCCGCGGCTGCGTGGGAGGAAGCGTTTCCGGGGACAGCGGCGGAGGGGCGGGGCTGACCTTGCGCAGGCGTAATGGGTGCAACCTTTGGCCAAACCCCCTGGAGTGAAAGGGCTGCGCGGAACGGGTGGTGCGCATGCGCACCACGAAGAGTGACGGCGAACGGAAGTGAGGAACGAGAGCCGCGGAGCTTGCGTGCCCCCTAGAGGACAATCTTGAAAACGAGGAGGGCGGCCGAGGCCGAGGGGATGACGTTGGGGAATCCACGAGGGAATGAACATGGGCTTTATTTTCAGCCTCGGTTCCCAAAGTTTGCTTCTTGTGGTTAGAGTCTGGGATAACTTGAGACTGAAAGCTCTTCCACGTGCGGTTTGCCACTGTTCCCGTTACTTGGATGATAGCACTGGGGACGCGGGAAGGAAGCAGGGTGCTGTCCCGAGGACCTGTGCTTACTGGCAAGGGCAGGGTTAGAATGCAGGTGCTGGGCCTCCGCCCGGGTCCCTGCATCCCAGATGGGCGCCTGTCAGTATCCGGGCTGCTCCACTTCCAATCCAGCTTTCTGCTGTGGCCTGGGAAAGCAGTGGAAAATGGCCCAAGTCCTTGGGCCCCTGCACCCACGTGGGTGCCTAGAAGAAGCTCCTGGCTCCTGGCTTCGGGTCGGCACAGCTCCAGCCGTTGTGGCCATTTGGGGAGTGAACCAGCAGACGGAAGACCTCGTTCTGTGTCTCTCCTTCGCTCTATAACTCTACCTCTCAAATAAATAAGATCTTTAAACAATAAGGACTTACTTTAAGAAAAAAGAAAAGAATCCAGGTGTATCCAACACTGCATGATTGATTTGGTGCCTACTGGGTCCCAGGAACTATAGGACATGTACACGTGAGACGGTCCCTGCCCTCGGTCAGGATGAGGGGTGTTTATGAGGCAGGGATCCAATCACTCTGAAGTCACTTCTAGCACTGCCTGATGCCATACCATTTTATCTCTGCCCTTGCCCCCAAGTCTGAATCGTGGGCAGTGAGCAAATATTTCCCGAATGAGTCAAGAACAGAGAAAGGGCAACAGCAAGCTGATGACTCATTTTTTTTTAATTTCTTATTTGAAAGTCAGAGTTACACAGAGAGAGGAGAGACAGAGAGAGAGAGCGAGAGAGGAGTCTTCCATCTGCTGGTTCACCCCCCAATTGGCCACAATGGCCAGAGCTATGCCGATCCAAAGCTAAGAGCCAAGAGCTTCTTCCAGGTCTCCCATGCAGGTGCAGGGGCCCAAGCACTTGGGCCATCTTCTACTGCTTTCCCAGGCTATAGCAGAGAGCTGGATCAGAAGTGGAGCAGCCAGGACTCGAACTGGCGCCCCTATAGGATGGCGGCACTGCAGGTGGCGGCTTTACCCGCTATGCCACAGCGCCAGCCCCCGATGACTCACTGTATTCCTGCCCCAGCCACCGGAGCCCCTCAGCTTCATTAATCCTAGGGCGGCCCTCTCTGGAGTGGAAAGGAGAGAGATCCTGGAGCCAGGTCCACCACTTAGTAGTTGTGGGACCAGAAAGCCACTTCCTCCTTTAAACCTCAGCTTCTCTGTTTATGAAACGAGGAGTTGGAGACGATTAACGTTTTCCAACATTTAATCTACCCTCCACCAATTATTTTCCCATTAAAAAAAAGCTATCAAAGACTCATGCCATCACCAATCAGAATTCCTGAACAGCGTGTGACAGCCTCGGTATCACCTTGAGTTGATACAATTCCAGACAAAAGTAAAGCAACTTGAGGCTTTACTGAGTGCTAAGTGATTTCCCTTATCGTTTGGAAATACTGTAAGCAGTTCTCTCCGGGCTGCAGTGTGGGAGTTATTAAGGCCTAAGACTTCCGAGGTGCTTTCCAGCTCAACCATCTTTTAGTCATCTCAGTGCAACTCAGAAAAACATATATTCAGATTCCTCTGGTCCACTGGTTACCCACATGACCGAGTGTTTGTGAGAAAGCATCTTCTGTGTATTAAGTGCCTACATGATCTTGTTTAACCCTCACAATCTAAGGAGGTAGCTACTGTCCCCCCCCCTTTTTTAGTTTTCATTTAATGAATGCATTTTTTATGGATACAACTTTAGGAATCTATGATTCCCCCATGCCCCCCCAGCTCCCATACCACCTCCCTCTCCCTCTCCCATCTCCTTCTTCATTATGGTTCATTTTTAGTATGACTTTATATACAGAGGATCAACTCCATGCTAAGCATAGACTTCAACAATTTGCACCCATGTACACATACAACATATAAAGTACAGTTTGGGAAGAAAATGTGCAGTCGATTCTCATCCCCTTTTTATTTTTTAAGATTTATTTATTTACTTATTTAAAGGCAGAGTTACAGAGGAAGAGAGAGAGATTTTCCATCTGCTGGTTCACTCCCCAAATGGCCTCAAAGTCCAGAGCTGGGATAGTCTGAAGCCAGGAGCCAGGAGCTTCCAAGACTTGGGCCATCTCCCCACTGCTTTCCCAGGTACATTAGCAGAGAGCTGGATCAGAAGTGGAGCAGCCAGGACTCGAACCGGCGCCCATATGGGATGCCAGAGTTGCAGGTGGCAGCTTTACCCGCTGTGCCACAGCGCCGGCTCCCATTGTCCTTCTTTTTTACAGGTGATGAGATTCGTGCTCAGGAAGGGGCCGTGACTCTGCCCAGGTCAGAGAGCTCACAGGAATGCAAACCCAGGCAACTGACTCCCAACACCAAATCAAAGATGGAAGGGAGGAAGTGGGGGAGGGAGGGAGAATGAAGGAGAGAGACAGGGACAGCGAGGCAGTCAGATGGTGCAGTAGTGGAAAGTGGAAAAGCAGCAGTGGATCTCTGAGCTCAGGTCACCCCGGGGCGAGGGACCAGGCAGAGGTGGGAGAGGTTTAGGAAAAGTGCTGGTGCTGTCTTCCCGCCCGGAGCTGGAATGTGTGGCCTTTCCTGGAGTCGGTCTGCCCCTTCACAGCACAGCTGGGCCCACTCCACCCCCACCTCCTCCACAAGGAAGGCTCTGCCTACCCGTTCTCCGGAAACGGAAGCACCCAGGTAGCTTACCACAGCAGGGCCAGCTGAATTGCTGCTGTCTGACGTCACCCCTGGAGCGGGCCCTCTCCTCTGGGAAAACCCCCGCTGGGCAGGCGACGGAGCTTCCTGCTGTTTGCCTTTCCCTTCAGAAGCCGGGCTCTTGGATGCCTGCCTTGCCGGGCCCCGGAAGCAGGCACCGTCGTGCGTCTTAATTCAGATCCGAGAAGGAAACCAAAACTGGGGGAAAACCACAGCAGCACCCTGTGCCGATCTCCTGGGCCCGTTTCCAAAATTTGACTGTGGGCAGCCTGGTCGAGACCAGGGATCTAGGACAGTCCCACTGCCCCGCTGCAGGCCCTGGGCTAGCCTTTTGCTGGATCCCAGGAATCCCAATCTATAAAATCAAAGTGGGGCACTGGACTCTGATTTCTAAACGCAGCTCATGGCCCTGTGCCTTCTGAATCATCTGAGAAGCACGTTACACATTCAGATTCTCAGGCTTTGTTGCAAAATCTAAATTTCCAAGAGCAGCGTGCAGACATGTGTGTATTTAAAGAACTCGCTAAGTGAGTCAGAGGTGTGACCACCTTTGGTAACTGCAGAACGTGATCCGTCGTTGACCCCAGAACAAACTCTCTAACAGAAAACCGCTGTGACCTTGGCATATCCACAGCTCTTGTTGGGCTCCAGGGTTTGTTTTTTTTTTCCATCTGTCATATGAGGGGGTTGGACTAGAATAGCCTGTCTCCACAGGCCTTTCCCACACTGCCAAGTCTGTGGTTCCCAAATTATGAATGAAATGTTCAACTTTAGGTCAGGGGCAGAGTGACCAACAGTTACCAGCTGGGACAAACTGTCCTCCCAGTGGCGGGGAGGGGAGTGCCTGCGGTCACTTGATCCCTTTCGTCATTCCCACACTAAGCCCCCATTGTGGGCATGTAAGGACAACGCCCACTGGGCTCGATTTCTGACCCCACCCCCATAAATCCTTGAGAAATGTCCTTGCATGGATTCCTGGGTTTGGGGACTTGCTTAGACTTGAGTCCTGGCTCTCCTGTCTTGTAGGGTGACCTTGAGAGGAAGTATTCCATCTCTCTGGGCAGGACTTGATTTCCTCTTCTATAAAATGGGCACCAGGGGGCCGATGCTGGGGTGCAGGGGCTAAGCTGCTGTTTGCAGTGCAGGCATCCTACATCGGAGCGCTGGTTCAAGTCTTGGCTGCTCTGCTTCCCAGTCTGCTCCCTGCTGATGTGCTTGGGAAGGCAGTGGAGGATGGCCCACGTCCTTGTGGCCCTGGCACCCACATTGCACACCTGGGTGGAGTTCCAGTCTCCCGGTTTTGGCCTGACCCAGCCCCAGCCATTGCAGGCATGGAAGATCTCTCTGTGTCTCCATTCTCTCTCTGTCACTCTGCCTTTAAACAAAAAAAAAAAAAAAGAATGGTGCCCAGGTGTGTTTTTTTTTTTTTTTTTTTAATTTGACAAGTAGAGTTATAGATAGTGAGAGAGACAGAGAGAAAGGTCTTCCTTTCCGTTGGTTCACTCCCCAAATTGCCACTATGGCTGGCACTGCGCTGATCCGAAGCCAGGAGCCAGGTGCCTCCTCCTGGTCTACCCATGTGGGTGCAGGACCCCAAGCACCTGGGCCATCCTCTACTGCCCTCCCGGGCCACAGCAGAGAGCTGGACTGGAAGAGGAGCAACTGGGACTAGAACCAGCGCCCATATGGGATGCCGGCGCCACAGGTGGAAGATTAGCCAAGTGAGCCACGGCACTGGCCCCTAGGGGTTGTCTTAACCCCAAGTGTGCTTAGCCCACTGCCTGATAACCTTTTGCTGTTGTATGAACATTAGCAATATTAATTATTATAATTATTTCTTCCTTTGGTATGTGGGAGAGGAAATCCCTGATTTCTCAGATTTATGGCAGGGTTTAGTTAGGTATCAGACAGGGGGAGCCCGGGGCCAGGCACATAGTAGGAGCTCAGTAAATGAGATCCTTTATCTTCCTAGTTCCACAGTGGCTCCCCGGCTCCCAGCTCGCCCGCCCCTCGCTGCTCCCTTCCCGGAGCTGCCCTCCTGCCCGTGGCATTTCCCCTTTTGGAGGCTGTGAAGACACTTCAGCAGACACGTGTCCCAGGGACAGGTTATGCAACTCTGTGCTCGCACTTTTCGGAAACTCTGCGTGGGAGGCGAGCACTTGGCTGCCTGTCCTCCACATCAGCGACCATCCTGGACTTGGGCCAGTGGGCGCCTCTCCTGGGAGGGAAGCTGCAGAGAGCGCTCATTGGCTGCCTGTTTTATTTCCAGACTAAGAACATTTTGTCACCCAGGTGTCTTTAAGGGCTGTGCGTGCATCCGTGTTTGAGGAGGCATGTTTGCTGAGCGCCAGAATCTCATGTAATGCTTATTTAATTTCTAAAACAAGCATGGGGCCGGCGCTGTGGTGCAGTGGGTTAACGCTATGGCCTGAAGCGCCAGCATCCCATATGGGCGCTGGTTCGAGTCCCGGCTGCTCCTTCTGATCCAGCTCTCTGCTATGGCTTGGGAAAGCAGTAGAAGATGGCCCAAGTCCTTGGGCCCCTGCACCCGTGTGGGAGACCCGGAAGAAGCTCCTGGCTCCTGGCTTCAGATCAGCACAGCTCCAGTCATTGCAGCCAACTGGGGAGTGAACCAGCGGATGGAAGACCTCTCTCTCTGCCTCTCCTTTCTCTGTGTAACTCTGACTTTCAAATAAATAAATAAATAAATCTTAAAAAAAAAAAAAGCAGTGGAAAGGAAGACCTTTCTCTCTGTCTCACTATCCACTCCGCCTGTCAAAAAATAAAAAAAATAAAAATAAAAAAAAGCAGTGGGCTGTAGATACTTTTTAAAATTTCTATATATGCATTAAAATGCTGGATTTTTTAAAAAAAATAAACTTATCTTTTAGTTCCATTTTCTATGAATTTTTTTAAAAAATATTTATTTACTTAATTTGAAAGGCAGAGTTACAGAGAGACAGAGACAGAGAGAAAGAGAGAAGTCTTCCATCTGCTGGTTCACTCTTCAAATGGCCAGAGCTGGGCCGATCTGAAGCCAGGAGCCAGGAGCTTCTTCCAGGTCTCCCACATGGGT